CATTGATGGATATTGCTTCCCCTCATTTTTAACCTGCTACAATGGTACTGTAACATTCATAAATAGGCTATTATGCAGATGCTTTAATTTCTTATGGGTATATATGTGCTCTGTAAATATTTTCTCCCAGTCTGATTTTCTAATTTTGTTAATATCATTGGAAAGGAAAAATGAAGGATAAAGCCCAATCCATCAGTTCTTTTCTTCTGTAGTTTTTTTTTTTTTTTATTTTAATCTTATCTAGGAATTCTCTTCCTAATTCAAGGTCACAAAATTTTCGAAGTTTTATAAGTTTAGCTCTTATATTTAGGCTTATGGTCAATTTAACTCCATTTTTGTACATGCTGTGAGATTAGGATCAAGTTCATTTTCCTGAATATTTAATACAAGCATCATTTATTTATTTATTTATTTTTTGAGACAGGGGCTTGCTGTGTAGCCCAAACTGGCCTCAAATTCATGATCGTCTTGCCTCAGCCTCTCAGGTGCCCGTATTACATACAGGCTTGGACCTATACACTAGCTGGCCTAAGATCACATTTTGAAGAATATCTCACCATTGCATGGGGACTGGTTGTTGATTCTGACATGTTGATTAGAGTTCATTGAGCCAATAGGTAAGCTGGATGAATCGATGCCTTAGTGTTACTTAGTCTCAAGGACCTTCTTCAGCTTCTTGGGATCTTTTCATTTCTTTCAGCAGTTTTGTAGTTTTGATGACACTACGTCAAGGCATTAACCATCCACATCTAGCACTATTTAGTGGAACAAAACTGATTTTTGTCTGGCCTTTAACTCTTGTCCCTTTACACTCACCTTTTTAGTTGCCTTTCCTTCCCAGCTTCCTTGTTCTCCAAGGAGATAACTACACCTGCCTGCAGGTGACATGCTGTTGCAAACGATGAAATGATGACCCGCCTTGGTTCTTTTCCACAATCTGTATGTCATGTTGTAGAGGATGCAACCCCAGCATGAGGTTTAGTAAGTGTGAGTGGGCCTTTTGCTCATTCATCTCAGGAGGAAGGTGCTGGGTCTCTCAAATGGAGCGTGTCAGTTGTGGAGTTGGAAGATGCCTGTTATTGAGATTACTTTCTATTACTGGATTGCTGGTGATTTTTATGACTTGGTGTTGAATTCTTTTTAGTTTCTTCTATACCTACTGAGATAATCATATCCCCCCCCCTCCAGTTTACTGTTAATATGAATTACACTACTTGATTTTTCAAAGCTTGAAAATTCCTGCAGTGTTATGGTAAATCTTGCTTGATCATGCTGTATTTTTCTTTTGTTTCCTGTTCTATGCAACTTTCTAATAAGTCTGCTGAATGTCTTTGCATCTATTTTCTTGAAGGATATTGGTCTATAGCTCTTTTCCTGAATGGCTATTGTTGGTTAAACTGAGCTTCACAGGCAACTGAAGAGGGATTTGACTTTGCCTGTTTTCTGAATGAATTTATACAGAACTGGTACAGCCAATTTCTTACATGTATGGGAGAATTCACCAGTGGCACCATCTGGCCTGAAAATTTTTTCTTGGAAGGTTTTTAGCTATCAAGTTCTTTGATACCATTTAGGTTGTTTCTTTACTGATAAGCTTTGGTAATTAGGCTTTTTGAGAAATGTCACCTGTCCCTAAGCTGTCTAAATGGATGAATGCAAAGTTATTTTCTTATGTTCTCCTTACCCTGTAGCATCTGTATGGATGCCCCATTTCTTCCTTTGCAAATATTTTATTTTTTATGTGTATGAGTGTATTGCTTGCATGCATGTAGGTGCACCCGTGTCATGCAATGGCCATGGAAGCCAGAAGAGGGTGTTGGATCCCCTGGAACTGGAGTTATGGATGGTTGTTAGCTGCCATATGGGTGCTGGGAACCAAACCTAGCTCTTCTGGTAGAGCAGCCAGTGCTCTTAACTGCTGAGCCATCTCTCCAGTTCATTTCTTTCTTGACATTGGTAATTTGTGTCTCCTCTTTTTCCTTGACCTATTTAACTAGAGAGCTATCTATTTTTTTTAAATGTTTTGGTTGTTAGCCTTAGCCTTTAACAGCTGTGCTGTCCCTCCAGCCCATCTTTTCTTTTTTAAACATTTTTTATTATTATTTTATGTGTATGCATGTATTGCCTGCATGTAGATAAGTGCACCCGTGTTGTGCAATGCCCATGGAGGACAGAAGAGACGATTGGATCCCCTGGAACTGGAGTTATGGACAGTAGTTAGCTGTCATGTTGGTGCTGGGATTCGAATCCGGGTCTTCTGTAAGAACAGCCAGTGCTCTTAACCGCTGAGCCATCTCTCCAGCCCCCAAGAGCTATCTTTTCAAAGGCTGACTTGATTTACATTGCTTTCTGTGTCATTTTTTTTTTCATTATTGGCTCTCTCCTCCTTGGTTGGGGTATTTTATAAGGTGGAAGCTTAGATGAGTGAGTCTTTTATTCATGTTATAAGCATTTAATGCTATAAATTTCCATATATATATAGCCTTGACTTTATGCTACAAGTTTTGGCATATGATGCCATCAATTTATTCCAGTTAGGAATAACTTAATATGGCTTTGTAATAATTTTGGGGAGTTCTAAAATATATTACTGATTCATAGTTTTGCTTTATAAAAAATGTTTAATTACTATTATTGCCTGTGTGAGCTTATGCATGCCATGGCATAGATGTGGTGGTCAGAGGACAGCTTTCAGAAGCTGTTTTTTTCCTTACACTATGGATTCTGGGGCTCAAACTCAGGTCATCAGGCTTTTGTTGCAAGCACTTTGACCTGCTGTCATTTTTCTGGTCCTAGTTTCATTATTTTGTAGAGGAAATCATTTTGTTTCAATCCTTCCAAGTGTGAGTTCTATCACAGCCTATATGGTTTCTCTTTATTAATTTCCCAGGAAGCTTAGGATAAGCATGTGTTCTGGCTACTATTGATGACATACTGTTCTTTAATGAGCAGTACCTGTAGGTCTGCTGTTGTGTACATCCTTCCGTTGTTGATCTTAGGTGAAATCTAAGATTAAATTTCCATGCCAACTTGATCACTTTTCCCCAAAGCTTTCTTTGGTTTGCATCAAGGTTGAGAAAAATCTCAGGCTCCATTTTCCACTTGACTAGGCTATGTGTTGTTCTTTGGGGGTATTTTCTATTTATATTGCACAGGGCTGGGGCTACACTTCCATGTGACCAGAATAAGCCTCCTCAATATGCAATGAGTCAGACCAGCCTGTGTGCAGATCCCAATTCTACTTACTGTGCATGTGTTCATGGTCATATGGCTTTTATGTGTATTTTTAAGGCTTTATGAAAAAAATCTTGATAATGGTAGCAAGACAGATGCCCACGAGAGGCATGGAGTTGCTGCTGCTTTTACACGGTATGAGGGAACAGGGGGAAGGAGCCACACATATTTTCCTTTTAAAAACTTTGACAATGCCTAATTATCACCACTTCCTAGCCATATGGATGAAGCACTGTTTTCTTTGACATCTAACCCAGTGATTACAGTGTGGACATTTTCTAAGAAGGATAACTTATTTCCTAACCCTATGTAGTAAATTTGTTTGCTGGGTAGTTGGTCTTAGTGACAGAGGAAATCGGGCAACCTGATGATAATGAGTCTGTAAAAAGTGGGGCCCTGGCACAGGAAGTAGGTCCTAACATCAGGATCCCCATCACATCTACTTGAGGTAGTCACACCTACAGGGTTCCAATGTCTTTGCCATGTACCATGAAATTGAGCACCTGAAAGATACCTAGACATAAACTCAACAAATCATAACACTAAGGCAACAGAAAAGGGAGTAATTTATTATCTCTACTATGCCCAGTGTTTAATAAGACCAGAGTAAGAAAACTATCAAACTATTGGAATTATTTAACATATGGATTCTGGGATTAAATGCAAAAGAAATAGCAAAAGCACAGCTGAGCCCTCCAAATGTGCACATTGTTTTCATTCAGCGGATGCCTGTTGTGCCTACTGGTGATGGGGGCTCAGGGTTTAGGAAGGAGGACTGAGCTCTCACTTCTCCAGAAACGTTTCACCACAAAGAAACAAAACAAAACAAAAAAACCCCATGAAATTGTGGATAACATCTAAAATATTTAGTGCTACTCTGCCCAAGGTAAACCAAGTTCAAGGATACAATACCCTTTAAATAGACAGTTTTCCAAAGAAAATGTTGATAATGACTCAAAGAATGACAGCAGGTCAGGCTTGTTGATGCATTTTATTGTGAGCTGGGGAAGTCTGGTAAAAAACTAGAAAATGACCATGGTGTTAACAAGGAACTTAGAAACGAAGAGTCGGATTGGTAGCTTACATACAGGATACAGGAACAAATTGGCACAACATGTTAAATATTGTTCCTAACACTGTTTATAGAAGGTAATTCTAATTTGGCTTGCTAAGGAAATGAGAGTTTGATGGTTAGGCTAACTCTTAACAAAACTGCAGAGCATCATGCTATTAGTTACACAGTGAATTTCAAAATTTAAGAGTTTTATATTAAAAACTGGGTAAAGGTAAAATGACTTGATTGTAGTTGTAAAGCTAATACATTCCCATTTAAATTCTGTTCTACAGTCCAAGGCAAGTATAAATGTTAACATAACACTGTTAAATCAAATCTCAATGCAAGAGAACCAATTGCATCTCTACTTTAAATCTTATCAACTTTCCAAATTTCATACTAAAATATATTATTGTATTAATACAAACTACAGTATTATGCACTACACTGTGCAATAAACATAAATATAAGACGCATAAATATAAAATTTTTCTAAAACTAAAAGTTTAGAAAACTTTTCTAAACTTTTAGAAAAGTTTAGCAAACATGTCAGTAGGAAGGGCATCAATACTGCCAGGTTTGAAGACGCACAGTACAAAAATGTTGCACAGATCTATAAACTAAAAGAAATAAAATAATACTGATAGGTAAAAATCAGCTAATGTTGTTAATAAACTGGGTCCGTAATAACTAACATTTGGAAATGGTTGTAAGCCAAATAACAATGGCTTATCCATGTCAGATATACAAGTACATGGATTAAGTAGATTGGAAATTTCCCTTTTGTTTCTGTAGAGATTTCTGAGTCAATCAATGCAAAACGAATACTGAGGAATTAAAGTATGAAGTGTCCCAGTGCTTCAGTTTCTCTGACAGAGTCAGTGGTTTTTAAGTTTTATTGGGGAATTTTGATACAACAAACAAATCAACAAATGCTAGTTATTGTAGGCCACACACTGAAGGAAGGCAGTTACAGCCTTGAAAATACTGAGAAATGGCACTTACAGCACACAGGTCTTGCTTAAGGCCAAAGGAGATACAACGCTTCATATCAGATCCTTCATATTTCCTACCACATCCTCAAACACAATCATGAACACTGATTCTGCCGACTCTGCCGTCCTCGCCATATCAACACTGTTAGTCCCTGCAGTCAGAACTCAACGACAACCATTTGAACTCCATTTAAAATCACAGGAGTAAGAAACTTCAGTTCTATCGGCTGCTTCCTTAAGGCTAGCAATACACACTAAATGATAGTATGCCCCACTCCGACATCCAGTAGGAATCCTACCTCTAACTGACTTGGTAAAGGGTAGTCAGCGTAGTTTGAACTGCTTTCTACTTCTCTGTGAAGGGGATTCTGTAGTGCAGAAGTTCTCACATTTTAAAAAACATAATAAAATACTGAAGCGGATTTAGCATATGTTTACCAATAAAAAATTATAAAATTTCTCCCATTGTACAGCTTAAGAATGAACCAACGTAAGAGTGATAATACTGATAAAATGAAACCATGCCAGATGCTCGTCCAGCCTCCTTTAAACTGTTCAGACACCTTTGCTTTCTGAGTCATTAAAGTTTTCTACTCTGCTTCATGTTATAAACTTGTTCCTAACTTGGAAAACTGCATGAAAAATTACTAGGTCTGAGGTTCAGGCACACCCGGATTTTTTTTTTTTATATTTTGTATTTTTTTTAGTTCTGACATTACACAGTAGTGAGCAGGAATCACAGTACGAGGCACTGTGCTTCCAGAAAAGCGTGGATAATATAGAGCAAACTTCATTACCAATTAGAATTTACTTTCCTTCTAGAAGCTCCTAGGCTTCATTTGTCTTCTCTTCAGACACCTGCTGGCTGCTCCCGCTCACCTTCTGCTCCAAGCTGCCTGCTTGGCCTGCAGCTCCCGCCTCCTTCACTGAGCCTGCAGTTCTTGCTTCTTCTTCATGCTCTGCCTCCTCCTCGTCGTCCTCGTCATCCTCATCCTCTTCTTCCTCCTCCTCTTCCTCCTCCTCCTCCTCCTCCCCCTCCCCTTGTGGGTTTTCACATTCCTTTTCTTCCTGCAATTCTTCCATCTCTTTATCCTCCTCCTCCTCTTCCTCCTTTTCACTGTCTTCATCCTCTTCCCTTGTCAAACTCTCTCTCTCATCTGAGTCGGCCTGGGAAGGAGATGCCCTGGCACCAACATGCTCATTCGTCAGGACTTCCGGCCCAGCCTCTTCCTGCTCAGTGCTGTCTCGTTCTTCAGCTTCTCTCTTGCAGTAGGAGTAGCGGTGATTCATGTGCTGAGAATAAGATCCAGAGTGTGAGAAGCGCTTTCCACACTTGTCACATTGATAGGGCTTTTCTCCAGAATGTAATCGCATGTGTTCAATCAAATGATGTTTGTGTTTAAATGCCTTTTTACAGATTCCACACTCATGAGGTCTTTTACCTGTGAAGTAAGAACACAGTTATGAAACAAAATGGTGGGATAAGTACAGTCCTCATAAGCATCAGAAGAACTTTAGGTTGTGGGAAAGGAAGGTAAATTTTCATGTTTAAGAAACTGGCAGGTCCCAAACTTTGCACTTAATACAACAGTATGGTCTGTCATTCACCCATGAAAATTCGGGCTATACACTGTGCTTTGCAGATGAGGTCAGTGGGAATTACAGAAAACTGAAATGCCAAAAATACAGGCACAGGACAACATGGCAGATTTATTAAAAGTGACGCTCTGATGAAATGTTTTGACAGAACACAGGGGGAGCAAGGAGGGACAGAGGGGCTTCTCGGCTTGTTTTTACTAATAAATCTCTTAAAATTCTTTGTTGGAGATAAGATCTTATATAGTGCAGTCTGGCTTCAAACTCATATGCACCTGTGTATTATATAGCTGACATAGGCCTTAAACTCATCTTCCCCTCTCCACCTCCAGGGTCTAAGAATTATAGGCATGCACCACTACACCCAGCCTTTTAATAACCCTCTCAAAGACTTGTTTTTTTAAAGACGATTTTTTCATAGTCTTGAAACCTGCATATCATGACATTTTAATGTCTCATATGGATCTTTTACGTATGACCAAATTCACAACAATATACAGTTCATGTACTAAAGTTCTTAAGAAATTATAATATCCAAGATTGTTTTGACTCCAAGACACTAGCTTTTGCCCTGGAGGACAACCCTGGCCCTGCTGAATGTGTGGGGGCTTGAGGGATACTGTGCAGACCTGGAGATGAACAACAGGGCATAATCAGGTCGGCTGCCAACAATTCCAGTGTTTTAGAGCAGTCAGCACTAAAAAATGTAGAAATGACTTTCCATCATCCATTTAGAGATAGGATGCCATTTCAATTTTTGCATTTGTTAATATTTAACTCATTAAAGATTAAGGAAATGTTCTAATTTTTCTTGGTGAAAACAAGCAGAGGTTGGGGTGGGAGGGTCGGAGAGGTACAGCATGCATGTGTGTGGCACTTCTTTCAATGCTGACAGCTGCCTGAGGGTCCCACTGCGTGCATCTGTGAGCCACAGCCTGAAAAGAGAAAACACTTCTCTGTATTTCTTCTTACCAGGGAGAACAAATGAATGTGGTTGAGAAGAATGTGAGTGATCTGCAGACACTGCACTAAAATGGCTGTAAAATAGTAAAGAGAGTCTGGGATTAAAGGGTTTATGATAAAACCAGTCCCTCCTCTAACATACGTGGAGAGAAACAGAGGTATGCTGTGGCCAGTTTTTATCGACTAGAAAGAGTCTGGGGCTAAACTATCAGGAATTCTATGAGCTGTCTGAAAGGTAATTCAAGCTTACAGTCAGCTATGGAGGGAGTGCCCAGGCCACTGGGGTCTGCAGACACTTCCTCCTGGAACGTTCCTGCTCCAGAGAATCAGTTACTCAGATTTAGCAAAACTGGCTGGAGGGAATCAGGAAGGCTGGTGGTTGGCGGGCATTTTCTGAAAGCTATCTATCTACTGGAGCATTTCAGGCCACACAGGCCACATGGTCCCTGTTGCAGTCACTCAAATCTATCATTCTGGAACAGCCAAAACACAGCTATGGGTAACACGTAAGCAGTGTGGCTGTGATTAATGCAACATTATCTAGTGATGTCAGGATTTGATTTTTTTTTTCTTTTTTGGTTTTTTTTGAGACAGAGTCTTCCTGTAGCCCAGCTGTCCTGGAACTCACTATGTAGAGCCAGGCTGGCCTTGAACTCACACAGATCCACCTGCCTCTACCTCCCGAGTGCTGGGATTAAAGGCGTGCGCCACCACGCCTGGCAGGATTTGGTTTTTAAATAATCATCTGTCACAAATATTCTTTGTTTCATCTTTTTAAATCATTAAAAATGTAAAAGTTCATTCTTGGCTCAGAGAAACGGGTGGAGCCTCATTCAATCTGCAAACAATTGTTTTCCAGCCCCTAAGTCAGCACAAGGAATGTGTGTTTTGTGAAGAAATATAGTATCTCAGAGTTGGAAAGGATATTCGAATCATCCAGTTCAGTCTCTAAAATAGCAAAGATGTTTCATTTTAAAACCTCAGGTGACAGGGAGTTGAGACTTGCTTCAGGACGGCCCTATGTGCTCATGAAACCGCTGTTTCTTGAAGCTTAAATCCTTTGCCCCCTTGTCCTGGGTTTTTATTACTACCCGGGGACTGCATTGTTATTACTGCAGCCTAAGTTTGCAGTAAATGGACAGAATAAATGCTGTGTCAGAGTGAGGCATGAAGCCATGAAAGAGAAGCAGGAGGCAACGGTAGAATCAGTGTAAATGCTACATCCCAGAGGGAAGACTCAAGACGTGGGAACCAAAACACTAATTCTGAGAACTTGGCTTTTAGTTTAGCCTTTTTCCTATACGTTGTGTCATGGCACTTTTACAGTGTCACGTTCATGTCCACAGACATACCTGTGTGCTCATACTTATGTCTCAGTAATGAACTGCTCTTCTGAAAGATCTTATCACACAAGTCACATGCGTACATTCCGTTCTCTGTCTTCCTGGTTTTCTTTTTGGGTGGTGTGGAGTCAGAGTCGTTCTGGTCTTCCACGGTGGAGACGCCTTCTGAGCTAGTGTCTTGCCTTTCATCCTAAGGGAAAAAAGAAGATTCCATTTCAAATGAAAAGATATATAAGAGATTGGGTCAGTGAGATGGCTCAGCAGGTAAAGGTGTTTGACACCAATCCTGATGACCTGCGTTTAATCCAGGGCTCCACTTGGTGGGAAGAGGGAAATGGCTCCTGCAAGTTGTCCTCTGAACTCCACAAGCATGTGGTGTCATGTGCAACCCCCCAATAAAGAAATTTGAAAGACAAATAAAAGCTAAACCAGTTGTGGATTAAAGAGCTACTTTCATCAACCAGAGTACAGCAGGCACACTGCCTGCCACTGCAGATGGGCTCAGGGGACTAGACCATGGTGGGACCAGACACAGAGAGACAGAAGTGAGGCTGGGACAGGATACTGAGGACGAAAGCAAAACACTTCAACTGGTACTGAAAAGAGAGGACATCAAAAGAAATGATGATAAAATGTTTAGTAACAAATTTTACTTGGCTTCATGTGAGCTATGATTTTTATGGCAATTTTGTAGGAAGTTTTAATGAGCTTGCTAATTAATCACTAATTTTCAACTACATCATTTAGCTTATTTTTTCACTAAGCAAAAATTAAGATTTCATTGTTAAGAAAGTGTCTTTAAACTGTACTCTTTCTTCTGGAGGCCTCTAGACTAGCTGCACTGGTCCTGGAAAGAGGTGTACTCTAGTCTACACAGTCTTGGACCCAGGAAGAGCAAGCAATGTGAGAGGGTCTGTGGTTTTAAATTGGAGTAGCTTCCAGTCGGGCAGAACCTTTACAATTCCAGGAGAATAAACAAAACAAAACAAGATAGGACACAGAACCTGCAGCAGACTCTGGAGGAGAATTCTGAAAAGGCTCTCTTGTCTCCAGAACAATCCTGTGGGGAGCACTATAGAATTAGGTCAGCTAAGGTCTTTGTGCCTTTTCTAGAGTCTCCCAGAGTTCTTGCTTTAAACCCAGATTCCTAAGAGCTCAAAGTTCTCCACATATCTTGTGGCTGAAAGACAAAAGTCAGCCTTGTCTGCGTCACTGTAAGCTGCCGATGTTGCTGAAGGAGCTCCACGTTCACAGCTGTTTGATGTAGTCAAACAACCATCAAAATGTTAGAAGTGTTTTTTAAAATCAAAGATGTGCAAAGAAGGTTGAGGAGATGTCTCAGTGGGGAAAGTGCTCACTATGCAAGTATAAAGACCTGATTTCAGATCACCAGCACACATGTAAGAGCCAGGCATGGCAGCATGTGCCTGCAACCCCAGCACTGGGATGTGCGCGCATGCATGCGTGTGTGTCTGTGTAGCCAGGCAGATACTGGGGGCTCAATGGCCAGCCAGTTTAGATGGAATAGTAAACTCTAGGTTCAATGAAAGACTGTTTCTAAACAGAAAGGTGGGGAGTGACAGAGGAAGACACCCAATGTCAACCTCACACACACACATGTATATACACCACACACATCACACACACTAGACACCCATACTACACACATACACACACCATACACACTATACTACATACATGTGTCTACACATATAGGTATACAACACACATATGTATGCACATACACTCACACATGTGTATACACTACACACGTGCATACACCACACACATACCGTGTTTTTTACATTAAGAATTCAACTTTCCCTGGTCCTGTGGATGGCTTCCTGAGGAGTCATTACAGTCCCAGGAGAGCCACTGTCATTAAGAAAAGACAGAAGCGGCACAAGCAGGTCTGCGGGACTCTGCAGTGATGACAGCTGCACTTACGTACAGCAAATATTTTATTGAAGATCGAAAATCCATCTCCAGTATTTGATTCCAATAGAGACTGATCAAAAAAATGGGTGAAATGGAGACGCTCTGGACAGTGAGCAACATGGCAGCCACACAGCAGAACCTTGTCCAGGGAACAGTGGAGGAGGAATAGGCGCACAAATACCCACAGCTGTATTTCCTGTGTGGTGACTAGGACTGAATATCGGTACTTCCAGCCCAGGACGCACTAAGTGCGGTGTATACTTCTTCTTTAATCAGAGCCTTACAAAGGTGTCAGTACACAGACAGTGTTAGCTAAGGCTTCATTCATGGTGCTTTGTCATGAATGGGAACACAATTTTGTTTACTAATGATCACAAGTAAAGTAAAAACTATTACTAGTTTGGGAATTTATAAAACCAGAAGTCTAATTAATGACTGTTGTAACAAAAGAGGAAACCCTTTTGTTTCTAACTTCATGGGTCTCTAGCTGAAGCACATAAATCATTTTTCAGAGAATACTACTTTAGACTGCAGTTGATACTTCTACCTTAGATCAGTAAACTGAAGACATCCCACCACAAAAGGTTAAGAAAATATTGAAATTTCCTTTTAAATACGACAGCTTGTAACAATCTGCTATGACTGATGTTTCCTCACTAGAGACAAATCAAGTTAGTCAGCTAGCGGGCTAAGCACAGAGTTTTACCTGGTTTCCGTTTGGCTGGATCATCTTCAAGGGCGGCTCCTGCACTGCAGGACTGACTGTTGTTGAGTATGTGTAAGCCACCTGGGGAATCAGAATAGTCTGCTTGTTGGCAGCAAGCGCTCGTAAGCATGGAACACTGTTCTGGTCAGCAATGGCCACAATTGTGGGTAACTGGGCAGTGACTGCAGGAATAGCAATGTTTATGGGGTTGGCACTTGGTGGGATTACATTTACAACTGGTTCTGAGTCTGTAACACAGCTGTCCTTCTGTGGCTCCTTTTTTGCACAAGACAAGTTCAAGGGTTCTTCCTGGACAGAATAAACACTGTTCTGGTAAACACTAGTGATAGTTGACCTTTCCAGTAATTCTCCCTGTTGCTTTGGTAGTGAGAGATCAAGAGGTTCTACCTGGGGCTCCTCCTGTGTACCCTCTGCCATGCATGAGTAACCCTGTGCATTTCTAGCTGAGGAAAGGTTTAGAGGTGACGGGGATGGCGTATGACTTCTGGAACCATTAATGGCTGATCCTACTGGTAACACTGGAGAGTTAGTTATCTTTAGAGGACTCTGTGGACTTGTGCTGTCCTCCTGGGGCTCATTCCCACCTGCAGCCTGAGGCTGGTCATTGCTTTTGGCAGGGATGTTTCCTTTGCTGGGGTCTGGAGAAGGTGGTTCAGAAGACTGCACTGGAATCTGTCCAGCCTGCATCTTTTCAAACCACTTTTTAACTACATCCAGTGGTAGGTTCACAGAATCAGCAATCTTGGAGAGCTCTTCTGCACTTGGCTGTGCATTCAGAGCATAGTAGGCTTTTAGGAGAGACAGGAGGTTCTTTAAAGGTGGCTGATTGGGAGACAAATCACCATCTGCAGGAGGAGCTGATGAAGCAGAGGCCTCAGGCTTCTCAGCTTCTGGGGCGGGGGGTGGAGGCTGAGCCGGCTGCTCTCGGTCATAGTGCTTTAGTTCTGGAAGTGCATTGAGGTCTCCTGGACAATCGTCACAGAGAAGGCAAGTGCTATCGTTTACGCCCCCATCAAAGCTTTTGTCCTTTTCTGACTTAACAGTAAGATCTTCTGGCGACTTTTCACTTTTGCAGCTGTTTGTAGGGACTGGGTTTTCTTTCTTTAAATTCTGAGGAACAACCTGAAGTTGGCTAGGCTGCTCAAGACTGTAGTTGATGATAATTTTGGTTGTTCCATCTTGGTCAACTAAAGGAAGACTGATGGCTGAAATAACAGAATGGCCACCTTGTTGGATGGGTGAAGCACTGATTGCTTCTTGTTCTTTGGATGCAAGACTGGCTTGATTATTCTCCAAAACTTGCCTTATTACATTTCCATCTACTGCCACTTTAAGTACATTCTGAATATCACTTAGATTAATACTTATGGGAGATACCAAACCAACTGTTGGCAGAACAACAGCTTGCACCACACCCTGAGGAGAACTGGTTGCCTGCAATGGGCCACCACCACTAAAAACCCCATTCTGCAAAGGGGTTGAACAGTTGATTCCTGAAGCAACCACTATGGGTTTGAACTCATAATCCACAGGTTCAGTTTTGATTTGGTTTACAGAAAGCTGTTCTTGAAGGGGTTTATTCTCTATCTTCTGCCGTATCTGTGGGCGAGTGGGACTGCCTGGTGATGCTGAAAGAGATGGTGAGGAGCACTGCGATGTCTTAAGTCCCGTTCTTGGCCGCCCATTCACAGGCATCAAGCTGATGCACTTCTTACTGCTTATGTGTGAGCTATAGGAACCAGAATGGGAAAAACGCTTCTTGCAGTTTGGGCATTCATATGGCTTCTCTCCTAAACACAACACAAAATTTAGATTCATTGAATTATTACACATCTGCATTTCCCCTAGAATAAGAACTATCAGTTTAAAAAAAGAAAGTCTACCATGTATGCCTTTGAAATTATTTTGTTTAGAATCATCATTACAAGCTCAAACCTCCAGAAATGTTAGAAGCATAGAAAGTACAACAATCTTGTTCTGAGAGCCTCTGCTAACCATGCTGGGAAGCACGTGACCTCTGTCATGGTCTGTGATGGCTAATGATCCTCAAGTATCAAAAGGAATCAATCTACCCTTATAACTATTTTTTTCTTCCTGTTTCATCAACCTAAATAATTTTAAACTCTACTCAAGCATCTGTAGGAAAATTAATATTAGAGGAAAGAGAAATAAATATAATTTCTTCTAAGATTTAATGAGTATGTGTGTCCTTGATTGATTAAAAACTCCTATGTCCTTATGGTTCCCTTGGCAAAATCTTCCTAAATGGGAAAGAAACCCTTAACAGAAGCATGGCTCTGTAAACCATGGACTTGTAAACCACACATTCCCCAGGAACACAGGTTCTAGAGAAAGTGCACAAAGCATCTTGCAGCTTAATTGTTCATGCTAGTAGGTATAGAAGTATTGTTTTATATTAAAACAGATTAAATTTGGATAAGATGCAACATTTTTGTGAACTGGCAGCAAAAACAACATGATGTCAGAGACACGCCCTGGCCGCAGGGGCCTCCTTGAAATGCTTCGTGAGACTCACCAGGCAACAAGGCGTTTATTCTCCTTGGCTGTCAGACACACTTGGGGAGAAAGTTCTGAGAAATATGAGATAAATGTAATATTGCCACATGAGCCTAATTTAAAAATTTTGACTCTAATTCATAGCTACAGGTTACAGACTATCAGCTCTAACAAGGTGGGATCTCTGGGTCTTTCTGGCTCTTAACCTCTTGTACCTATCACAATGCAGGCCACAAGACTGCTCCCTGCACCTTTCTTGGATGAGTAGGGGTACTTAGGCAATGTGAGAATGCTAAGCTTTCTAGTCAGCATTACAGCAGAACGCTTTCTCTTTTTTTTTTTTTTTAAGAATTAAAATGAAAGCAGTGAGAAAGTCAGTGAAATTGCTGCTGCTGCTATGGGTTCTGTGCTGCACAGCTAAAGAAATGTGAGTTGCATTTTCTCAGAAATATACTCAATTTAAGAATAAGCGCAGAATTGCAAGGCATTTTAGAAGTCTCTTATGAGAATTCTCAATAGAATTCATTTTGTTTTGTCTTTGATATTGGTTAGTTTCTGCTTATACCCTTTAGCAAAAGTCAGGTGACTGCCTCAGGACAATGTATGGCAGTCTCTTCTGGTCTGGGGACTGGGTTCAGATTCTGACCCTGTCATGCACTACATTCTTAACTTTCCCAAGCCTACATGTTTTGGCATGTGAATGCAGACACATTCTCACTGGGTTGCTATGGAAAAATTGTAAGATTATACAGCAAAACTATCACTATGTGCTCAACAAACTATGGTGCTTCCTTTAAAAAGCAATTCTACCAAGAGACAGGCTGAGGGCTGAGTCAGCTGGTTTTCTCTTGCCCCCATTCCTTGTCCTGCATTCCCTTCTGATGCCACACATAGCAAGCCTCACTATTATACAAGCCAGACCTTCAAAGCCATAAAGCTGCCAAATGTTTGAGCTCTAGCTCCCCTTGTGTAGATCAAGCACATCTAGGACCTTCACAAGCTTCCTCATGGAACAGAACTTTCAGACCCTTACCTGCTTATTTGTCCCACCTCTGGGAAATTTCCAACATCAACATATTGTCAACAGGATGCCTGGCATAGGATTCAATGCTCAGAACGCCATCAGACAGAAGTTTCCAATGGCCAGGAGATAAGGGGTGTGCTTTAATAAAGCAACCCTGTTTTAACAATGGATGCGATCTAATGCATCTCTATTCTAATGAGGAGTCTTTTCTAACACATCTCAATTTAACACTGTTAATTATTTGGTAACAGGTTTAGATGAACCTCATGAATGTTTTCCCATTGAGAGATAGTAAGACAGTCATGCATAAATATTATACTGTTTTAATCTTACAAATAGGGAGATGGAGAAGAGCAGTGGGCAAGGCAATGTCCTGGAGTCAGGATGCCACTGGCAGAGCCCAGTTCTGACATGTACTAGCTGAGTAACCCTGAAGAAGTTAACTCAGCATTGTTAACCTCTATGTTTCTTATCAGAAGAAAGAGAAATCATAGAATCCACCTTGGAGCTATTTGAGGACTGCAGAAGTAAATGGCAGCAAATGCTAGTTATCATTTTATGATTATTCAGAATTACCCTGACACTTTATCATGGTGACAAAGAAGGTATACGGAATCATTCTAAAGCCAAAGTTACTATGTTGGAAAACTCCCAATTTCTTACTTCATAGCTTTATGGTTTATAGCCTAAAGCCCATCACTCAGTTTACCTAGGTTATGGTTTGCAACTACTTTAGCCTGGAGGTTCTGTTAGGAAGTGGTACTATTAAGTGAGACATGTTACAGATAATAAGGGTTTTTAATGGCTGAAGTGGGCAGTTGGTTGTATCTGATGTAAAAATTTCCAAGGTAAAATTACTAAAGCCACAGAACAGATGTGACAGTACGCTGTGAGGAAGGTTTGTAGCCATGGGCAGGCACTTTTTCACCTCACCTCTCAGTGGAGACGTGGGAGCTTCCAGAGCACAGCTTGGCTCCCACTGGGAGCCTGTTAACGCACATGGCTCTGCCACAGGTTCCTAGACAAAGCTTTATGGGGATGGGAACAGCAATGACAGGTAATTTTATGGAGTATAATGCTGGACTCTGATCCTCAACATGTTTTAAATCCCCATCTAAGAAAAAAATTAATTACAAAAGTTTCCTGAAGGATATGCAGTTCACCTGTCACGAGATACCCTGAGCACCAAGTGTTTTCCAAACTGCCTGTAGGGAAATAATCAGATTTTTTTTTGCTTTATGTTCCCTAACCATTATCATCTGGCATTTTGTTTTTGATAGGGTCTCTCTAGTCTCAGCCCATCTGGAAGTTACTATGTAGACTAGGCTGGCCTCGATCTCACAATCTCACAGAGATCCACCTGCCTCTGTCTCCTGACGGCTGGGATTGAAGGTGTGCGTCACCACGTCCAATGTTTTGTAATATAAAGAAAATGGGGTCAGTGAGATGACTCCATGGGTAAAAAAGTGCTTCCTGCCAAGCCTGATTCCCCTAGGACCTACATGATGCCCCGTCCCCCAAATTTAAAAACCGTAAAGAAAATGTCTCCGCAATGTCCGGATACTGCAGTTTCTAGAAGCTTAGTTTCAACTTCTGCACTGTCTCTTGGAGACCAGTAGCACATGGCTTACAGTGACACAGCCTGGGGCTGAGACTAGGAAGCCGGAAGGAAGGGCTTCCTTTGGCACAGACCAGATCTTCAGAGAGCTGAACACTTGGACCATATCCAAGTGGCCACGCTTGAGAGATGGCTTTTTCTAAATCACACTTGGATAAAATTTATCACTAGCCTCTACTGAAGAATCTGATTTAAAAACAGAAACCCTATCCAATATTCCTACATTATTTTAGGACTATTTCTCTAAGGATGAAATAAACTATATTTTGCTCTTCTTCATGATGTTCTAAGAAACTTTTTCATGGATATAGTATCAGGAAGGACAGTATTCCCTAGTTTTGTTTAAGTATTTCTGAACTGACATTACTCGCTGGGTTAAAGGCACACATGCCTCACACTGCGAACCTGAAGAGTAAGACACACAGATACAAGGCAATGAGGACAGAGTCCTGAGGATTTCCTGCTCCAAGAACTGGCCTGAGTTGGTACTAGCTCCGAAGCATCCACACACTGTAGGCTCATCAAGCTCGTGACCATCTCAGCTCATCACTTGACTAGGATGGAGTTTTGTTCATCAATGCAAGAGTTCTCAACTGACTTTCAATGTCTTGTTTATAGACAAGTGTTCTTGGTTATAACCAGATGACTTAGGTTATAATCTATGCATTCCAACTTTGTATCATTAAGAAAGCTGATAAATTCTACTCTATAACATGAATCTTCATTTTTTCTTTTTAATTCTAATTTTAACATCTTTAACTTTCTTGTTTAGCTACATCCTTACTAATATTTTCATATAATCTCTAGGAAGGTCAGTAATTTAAATATATTTCTACTGATGAACACTGTTCAACAGCATAGGAGCTAATAAACAGGATAGTTTGTCAGGTTGCAAGAAATAACCTCCATTTTCAAAATATCTTGGAATAAATCTGACCAAACACACCAAAGATCTCTACAATGAAAATTTTAAATAGTTAAGAGATTGAGATGGAAGGACCTCCCATGCCCATGGAAGAATTAATATTGTGAAAATGACCATCCTACCAAAAGCAATATATAGATTCAATGCAATCCCAATTGGAAGTCCCATGAGATACTTCACAGAATTTCTCATTGAATTAGAGAAAAAAAAAAAACCCATCCTTACATTCGTATGGAAGCACAAAAGACCCCGGATAGCCAAAGCAACCCTGAGCACAAAGAGCAATGCTAGGGGGATTACCATGCCAGATCTCAAAGTATACTACAGAGCTATAGTCATAAAAACAGCATGGTACTGGCACAAAAATAGACACATAGATCAATGGAACATCACTGAAGATCCAAACCGAAGTACATGCAATTTCAGCCACCTGATATTTGACAAAGGTGCCAAGAACACACAATGGAGGAAAGACAGCATCTTCAACAAATGGTGCTGGCAAAACTGGATCTCCACCTGCAGAAGAATGAAACTAGATCTTTATCTTTCACTTGCACAGAAGTCAACTCCAAATGGATTAAATATCTCAATGTGAAACTGGAAACCTTGAAACTATTAGAAGAAAATATTGGCAATAACTTACAAGATGTAAGTGTAGGAAAGGATTTTCTAAATCTGACAGAAGTTGCTCAGGAATTAAGGTCAGCAATCAACAAGTGGGACCTCAATAAACTAAAGTGAAGAGAAAACCCACAGAATGGGAAAAAATCTTCACCAGTGACACATATGTCAGGGGTTTAACATCCAGAATATATAAAGAATTCAAGAAACAAAGAATCAAGAAACTAAATGGCTCAATTAAAAGATGGGCTAAAGATCTAAATAGAGAGTTCTCAAAGGAAGAAATAGAGATGGCTAAGAAACATCTCAAAAAGTGTTCAACATCTTTATAATTATGGAAATGAAAATTAAAACCACCCTAAGGTATCACCTTACTTCAATCAGACTGGCAAGGATCAAGAGAACAAATGATACCATATACTGGCAAGGATGTGGAGAAAGGGGAACGCTCATTCACTGCTGGTGGGATTGCAAACTCGTGCAACCCCTGTGGAAAACAGTGTGGAAAACTCTTAAAAACTAAAAATGAACCTACCATATGACCCAGTTATACCACTCCTTGGCATATACCCGAAGGACTCATCCTATTGTAGAGACACTTGTACAACCATGTTTGTTGCTGCTCTTTTCACAATAGCTAAGAGATGGACGCAACCTAAGTGCCCCTCAATTGAAAAGCAGTTAAAAAAATGTGGTATTTTTATACAATGGAGTTCTATTCAGCAGTAAAGAAAGATGAAATAATGAAATTTGCAGGTAAATGGATCTAGAAACTTATACTAAGTGAAGTAACACAGACTCAGAAAAACAAACGATGTATGTTCTCCTCATATGTGGCTCCTAGCACCAAATCCCTTTAAATTCCAGGTCCTTCTAATAAGATGATGCTATGCAGCAGTCCCTTCTGCATGAAATAAATACCACCATCATGACTTCAGCTAAGCCTGATCACTAAATATTGTCACAATCAGGCTTGTTGACGGTTGTGCTCATTCATTAAAGGAGGGCCAACCTGGGTCACTAGATCCTTATTGCATTATCCAACCACTCTCTTCAGCCAACTGTATGTAATTTGACCCTAGTCACACATGGCCTCCTGTATTTCGGGAGGGCTAATGTATACAATCTGGGGAAGGCTAGCAAGAGAAGGCATGACCCATACTGGGTAAAGGCTTTCCAGTGTGCATACCATCAGGTCATACATACACCTCAGCAACTCCTCAGTTATCTAGGTAAGTAAGCTCAATAAATTCATTGGTTCCCCAGTAAAACTTTAATCAAACATTGGCTCGACACTAGAACCTTAAAAGGGACT